TCAGGGAGGCAAGGGAGGCAGATTACTTGAGGTTAGCGGTTTGATGACCCAGCCTGGTCCAACATGGTGGAAACACGCATTTCTATAAAAATACAAAAAATTGGGCTGGCAGGTAGTGGCACCCGTTCTTGTAGTCCAGCTACCTTGTGAGGAAGCTGAGGCAGGAGGAGGAATCACTTGAACCCGCGGAGGTAGGAAGTTGCAGTGAGCGGACGGATGGTTGCACTTGCAACTCGCCATGGGCGGACCGAATGAAACCTCGTGTCTCAAAAAAAAAAAAAAGAGAACATCAGACTTTATAGACTGTTTTTTTGTTGTTATGATGCTGAACATCTAAATTAAAACTGGCCAGGCATGTGCTCACGCTGTAATCCCAGCACTTTGGGGATGACTGAGGGGTGAGTGGATCACCTGAGGTTGGGAGTTGGAGGACCAGCCGGACCAACGTGAGGAAACCCCATCTCTATTAAAAAAAAAAAAAAAACTTAGAAATAATGAGCGTAGTTGGGTGGACAGGCCTTGTATAATCCCAACTCCTCGGTAGGCTAGGGCAGGAGAATCCTTGAACCCCGGACCGGCAGAGGTTTGGTTAGGCCGAGTATCATGCCATTGACCTCCAGCCTGGGCAACAAGAACCGAAAACTCTGTCCAAAAAAAAAAAAAAAAAGACTTTATAAATGATGGGTATATTTTTGACAATGTTTTCTATTAGTGTTAGGAATTAAGGCAAGAATAATAGATTCTTCTCAAAATCTACGTAGAAAAATATCACAATTAGTTTTGGAAACTATTTTCACCTGAAACAATATTTTATTCTTTGGTCTAGATTGTCTTTTTATGCCTCTTGTAACTATAAAATCTTTAACAATAGCCCGGGTGTGTGGCTTTACATCGGGTATGCCTGTCAATCCCAGCCAGGGTCAGATGGGCATCATCTGAGGGGTTCTAGGAGTTGAGACGGAGCCTTCGCCTCAAACATAATGAAAGCCCCGTCGTTCTACCAATTATTTAAATAAAAAAATAAAATAAAATTAGGCTGGTGTGGTGGCGGCACGTACCTTGTAATCCCCAACGCTACTTGGGAGGCTGAGGCAGTCGAGGAATCGCCTATGAAACCCGGGAGTCAAGCTTGCAGTGAGCCGAGATCCGTTGCCACTTGCGACTCCAGTTGCCTTAAAAAACCTACAGTAATATTGAAATAGAAGGAGGTTTGCAATCAAAATGACTGACTAGGAATGAGATATGAAACATAATATTTTGCATCTGCATAGGGAAGTCTGAGATTGACTGATAGATCTTGTTCTCTTCTGTAGGGGAAATACTGGTCCAGAACTTGGGGTGCCTGCCAAGAGGGCAGTAGCCACAGTAGGGAGAGGTGGACTCTGGAATGCTAGGGTTCTGGAGCCTGTGGACACAGGAGGCAGAGGACATGTGTTCAGATGTTTTAAGAAATGAATGTTGATCTGGATATGAAAATATTTTTCAGCCGGGTGCAGTGGCTCACGTCTGTAATCCCAGCATTTTGGGAGGCTGAGGTGGGCGGATCACGAGGTCAGGAGTTCAAGACCAGCCTGGCCAACATGGTGAAACCCCGTCTCTACTAAAAATACAAAAATTAGCCGGGCGTGGTGGTGGGTGCCTGTAGTCTCAGCTATTCAGAAGGCTAAGACAGGAGAATCACCTGAACCCGGGAAGTGGAGGTTGCAGTGAGCCAAGATTGTGCCACTGCACTCCAGCCTGGGGGAAAGAGCGACTCTGTCTCAAAAAAAAAAAAAAAAAATTCACATTTGTAGAGAGTTTCAATTCTTTTTTGATATGGAGTCTCACCCTGTTGCCCAGGCTGGAGTACAGTAGCAGGGTCTTGGCTCACTGCAACCTCTGCCTCCCAGGCTCAAGTGATTCTCCTGCTTTAGCCTCCCAAGTAGCTGGGACTACAGGCACCCACCAAAACGCCTGTACAATTTTTGTATTTTTATTAGAGACAGGGTTTCACCATGTTGTCCAGGCTGGTCTCAAACTCCTGACCTCAGGTGATCCACCTGCCTCGGCCTCCCAAAGTGCTGGGATTACAGGTGTGAGCCACCGCGCTTGCCTGAGAGTTTAAATTCTTAAGTTCTACACTCCAATATGTGGGAAGTATTCGTACTACGCTTTTACAACTAAATCATCTCAGTAATTCTATTTCTAGCCCCCTTTCTGCCTGATGGTAAAATACTTAGTCTAGTCAATTCCAGGTAAACTTCGGCCCTTTACAATTTTTCCTGATCAGGCCAAACCTCAACCAAGTCCATTCTTGATCTCCTCCTTCACCTCCTTTTCTCACTCACCCACCCTATCAGCCTCCAGTCCACAGGCTGATGCAGCATCTTGGTGTCCTGTGGTCTGAGGTCATGTTCTGTCTTTCTCAAGCCTCGGCTAAAGTTTACAATCCTACCTCTTCTCATAACCTTGAAATGCCTTGAGGTTCAGGGGCTATGTCCGTAAATATCTAACACCCATTGCTGCTTCATGGGGGACCCTGGCTGCTCTCTGAGGCTGCTTAGCACCCCTGAATATCCCATCAACTACCTGGGGCCCATCTCCACCAGAAGCCTCAGCCATTCCTGCTCTACAGCTCTGCTGTCCTGTTGGCACAGGGAACTCCTCGGGGCCCCAGGGTTCCAGATTGAAAGCAGAGAATCTCCTCAAGACGCCCAAACTTTGCTAGGGATTCTATTGTCCTTTCCCCCATCTCACTCCTTGGAACCCACTGGGAGGTGAGTAGAATCCCTCTCTGAGATTCTACCACCATCTCCCTCATTCTTACCCTAACCTTCTTCCTCTTCCTCCCTAGTTAGGAAAGAGGATCTTTAGCCTGCGGCGGGGGGTGGGGGTGGGAATGCTTGATGTTTCAGGGGAAAAGGTGACTCAGCTACTTTTGGAATATCTGTCATACCTGTCTACTGGTGTTTTGGCATTTTAGTGCAACAGGGACAGCTTTCCCTTTCGTCAGTGGCACCCTTTCAACTCAGTACAAGGGGAAATTTGCAGCAAATCATGTGGGAAGCCAGCCCATCAGTTGTAACACTGAAGTGTCGCCTCCCTCACATCCATGCTGCTGCATCATCAATAGTTGGTCGCTATTCCAGCAAGGCTCAAGCAGAAATGGGAGTGGTTTGGGGATGCAGACGTGTGCGGTGAGTGTCCAGCAAACACAGCACAAGCAAGACTTTTTCAAACTTGTTTTGCTTATTTACAGATAAAACAGTTGGGACCTCAAGCCTTGATATTCTCCTTCCCTCCCATTCAGATGCCCTGTTTTGGAGTTTTCTGGGTTTGCTCCTCTTTTGAATCTTAGCTTTCTCTATCTCTTGGCCTCTGCACTACATGACCCTCAGGTTTGTAGGCCTAGAAGGCAGAGCTCCTGTCATGAGGAGCTCTCGGAGCCCAGGAAAGACTGTTGAGGCCAGGTGCGGTGGCTCACGCCTGTAATCCCAGCATTTTGGGAGGCTGAAGTGGGTGGATTGCATGAAGCCAGTAGTTTGACACCAGCCTGGCTAACATGTTGAAAGCCCGTCTCTACTAAAAATACAAAAATTAGCCGGGTGTGGTGGCGGGTGCCTGTAATTCCAGCTTCTTGGGGGGCTGAGGCAGGAGAATCACTTAAACTCAGGAGGCTGAGGTTGCAGTGAGCCGGGATCATACCACTACACTCCAGCCTGGGTGACAGAGCAAGACTGCATCTCAAAAAAAAAAAAAAAAAAAAAAAGACTCTGGAGAAACAATACACAGGAGAAGAGGCTGGTCCATGTAGAGAAAGGACTGGCAAACTGTGACAACTCTTTTCCGTTGTTTTGTTTTCAGCCTTCTCTTTACAGTTCTTTTCACAGTTTGGAATTGATCACTTTTCCTCTTCATCAGAACTCCAGTGTTTTCGTAGACGGAAGTCTTTTTTGTTTTGTTTTGTTTTCTTGAGAAAGGGTCTCAGTCTGTCACCCAGGCTGGAGTGCAGCGGCACAATCACTGCTCACTGCAGCCTCGACCTCCTGGGCTCAAGAAATCCTTCCACCTCAGCCCCCCAAGTAGCTGGGACTACGGGTGTGCACCACCATGCCCAGTTAATTTTTAATTTATTATTATTATTTTGAGATGGAGTCTTGCTCTGTAGCCCAGGCTGGAGTACAGTGGCACCATCTTGGCTCACTGCAACCTCCGCCTCCTGGGTTCAAGAGATTCTCTTGCCTCAGCCTTCTGAATAAGTGGGACTGCAGGTGCATGCCACCACACCTGGGTAATTTATTTTTCTGTAGAAAAGGAGTATCAGTGTGCTGTCCAGGCTGGTCTCAAACTCCTAACCTCAAGCGATCTGCTTGCCTTGACCTTCCAAACTATTGGGATTAGAGGCCATGACTGGCCTACATATAGCCCAAATGGATGAGAAGTTCCCAAGGCTCAGTCCCAGCCTCCACTGTCCAAGTCAGCCTCTCACTCCTTCATTTCCCAGGACTCAGTTCTCATTTTCCTCCCCTGTTTTCTCCGG